GCTTTGCCATTGTGGATTCAAAGTCTACTCAAGGGTAAATAAGGTCTTTACTATTTACCAGAACTATCCATTGCGGATCAAAGTCTACGTAGGAATCCAAAGATCCTATGACTATTGATTAAAAAAGTCTTAACTCGCACTACAATCAATTTGGATTGCGCACAGCTCTTGCTCTTAAAGAGGTATACACCTATGCTGCAGAATTCAGTCTCTGACCTAAGACTCCCCCATGGGTAACCCTTCCTTCTTAATACCTCTCACTAAATAGCTTACTGACTGGAGCGTTCCGGATTTGGAGTATCTACAAGACACCAAACGGTTGTTACCTGTAAGCTTCGCAGATATTTGGTTGTTTTGTGTATAGCTTTAGTAGATTGTCCGTTGCTTTTGAACCTTACAAGATTATACTTCTTTAAACTAATGTTAGCATCTAACTTATTTCCCTAGGTCCCAGCCTCTAAGGGACCCTTTGAAGGGAGGGTAACTCTACCGCACTGTGTAATATAAGTAAAAAACAGAAAATTAGATCGTAGTCTCTTTCATAAATTTAATATATTTTCTTATTAGTTCGTTAGTTATGAACAAGAATCATTACTTTGGGTGTTATTCCTAATAAAAGTTTGCAGAATCTCAATTAATGCATTTCTATTGGTTTACAAAATATAAACATCAGGTTAATGTTGATTTGTTGATATACACAAAGCAAAAATTTTGTAGTATCTGAGTCTGAACAATTGTAGGAAAATTAACATACGACGTGAGGAGACGAGCAATTTTGAAGAACAACAGTCACGATACTGACGAGGCGCGAATCGGAGAAAGATGAAGTGCTGGAAATACAATCAACTCATGAGTGTCCCACGCATCTCGCAGAGAGTCACAAACTTGACGATAGACGATTAGAAACCGAGAGGCTATAGCATAGTTTTGTTGCGATGTGACGGGACCAAATCACAATGTAAGTCAATCATACGAACAAATTAGTAAAGGGCAATTGAAGACAAACAATAATGTGGTGTACTGGTTGAAGATTTGAATTAAGCTTGACAAGTGAACAGGCCCAAAACACTTGAGGCCCACACGGCACAGACATATCAAGAACGTTTTTACAAATTATAAACTGACAAAAAACTCTCAAATCACTCTCAATTGTATACAAACACCCACAAACGGCAATCCTTATAAAGCCTAAGAGAAATCTAAACTCATCGATTAACTTAAAGGAAACACAACCTGACGACATGACTTCACAAAAGCGCCCACAGAATTACACAAAGGAGTACTTAATAAGAACATCGCAAAAGAGCAAAAAATATACCCGAAGAATGAGAGCCAAAATATTGTTCACAAAATAGAGAATGGGCTGCTTTATCCGTTGCTCTAAATGAGAGGAGGGCAGCCATTGGATTTTGATGCAAAGTGACGGCCAGGATTAAAAAAAGAAAAAGGATCAGCACTCAAAACGGCAGCGCATGGGATTAAGTCATGCGCCACCATATAATGGTTTCATATTTTAACAATTCAAAATACAATACTTATGTTGTTAGGCATTCTTATTCAAAATCTGACACCCCAAACCTTAAGGATGATACTCTTAATCACCTGAAATGTTTATGAAGAGGACTGATAATTCATATTAAACGTGTCGTGGAACACATGGGTGGCGGTTGGCTTTTCTTGCTACAGTTTTTTTGTTTTTCTAATGCAAAACTTGTTCTCCGGACAGCTTGAGATATTTGTTGAATTAATGGTTTCATCTTTCAACTACAGTTTAAATTTTGAATTTAACGGAAAATTTCATAGGCCCATGATAATGATGTAGAAGAAGGAGACAAACTTAGATCTTGACATTAATATGAGTAGAGTAGGAGAGATACATGTGAAACACGAGGTCTAAGTATCTATGGTTATAATTTATTTGAGTAATATTACACATATAAATAAATTTTATAAAGATTTTCATACAAAACGATGTGGTAAAAAATAAATGGAATAGTGAATTTAAGGAGTTTGACTTTTTATTTCACTCTTCTATTCATTTTTTATCACCTCACTTTGTATAAAAACCTTTGTAAGTATAGTATTATTGAATTTATTATCAACCTATTCCTAACATAACATGCATTAATGCAATAATTCATTAATTTGATGAGGCCACCCTCCACCCTGCCCATGTGATTATTACTTATAACGTTTTACCTTATTAAGATTAATAAATATATATTATACTTTGCATAAAACTTTAAAAATAAATAAATAAATAAATAAATAAATAAATGTTCTCTAAAGAATTCTTAGGTACGGTAATCGTTGTTGTATAATGTTGAGTGAGATTTTAATTACTCTGTATAAAGGGTCTGCGCATTTTCTTTTTGTTGCGGCTGTACAAGCAAAGGCTCTGGCAAGCGGAAAGCCACACACCACAAGTTTTAAGTTTTAACAGAATTAAACTATTTTTAAAAAATAATTAAATACATATTTTTTAAGGCTTTGGCAGGTCCTCTCAACTATAAATAGAAGTGCAGGTTATGCAGATTACCACAACACACTCTCTCCACCATGGAATATTTTTCCTCTTTCACTCAATCAATTATAGAGCTGTTAGCTCTGCTACTTCTCTATCATTTATGGAGAGCTAAGGCAAATTACAGAAACAAGTGTAACAAGAAGATGGCTGTCCCTCAACCAAATGGGGCGTGGCCTCTCATAGGCCACTTCCCTCTACTCTCTGCCTCGGTTCCAGTTTGTAAAACACTTGGAGCCATAGCTGATAAATGTGGCCCCATCTACTCACTTAAGCTTGGTAAGCACCAAACTTTGATTGTGAGCAGTTGGGAATTTGTGAAAGAATGCTTCACTACAAATGACAGAATTTTGGCTACGCGGCCAAATATATCGGTGGGGAGACATATTGGCTATGACAACGCCATTTTTGCATTTGCCCCTTATGGACCATACTGGCGGGAGATTCGCAAAATAGCCACCACCGATCTTCTTTCGAGTCACCGACTTGAAATGCTAAAGCACGCAAGGCACTCGGAGATTGAGACATTGGTTAAAGGTTTGAAATTACTTTGTGCAAAGAACTCATTCAATCCTGTTGAGGTGAATATGAGTAACTTGATTGAGCACTTCACTTTCAATGTAAACCTGAAGCTGATAGCTGGAAAGCGATTTTCACCTAGAGAGTATGGTGAACAAGGTAGCGAGGCCTGGCGTATTGAGAGAGCCATAAAAGAAGCAATATATCTGTCTGGGGTTTTTGTTGCGGGTGATGTCATTCCATGGCTTGAATGGATGGATTTTCAAGGGCATGTGGGTTCAATGAAGAGAACTTTTAAAGAAATCGACCATGTCCTCGGAAATTGGCTTGAAGAACATATTCAGAGAAAATTACAAGGCGAAAGTAATGCTGAGCGTGACTTCATGGACGTGTTGCTGTCAAAAATCCCAGAAGACGCTGTAATGTCTGGCCATACGCGTGATACTATCATCAAGGCAACATCTTTCGTAAGTTAGCGTGACATCAATTTAATTTTACTATATATATAAATGCCTTCTTTTAATTAATTTTCTTTTGCAGATTCTAATCTTTACTGGCGCAGAAAGCACTTCTGTGGCCATGACGTGGGTACTCTCCCTGTTGTTGAACTATCCAAAAGTTCTAAAGGCCGTACAAGAAGAGCTGGACAACCAAGTCGGAAGAGAAAAGTGGGTTCAGGAGTCGGATGTCAAGAACCTGAAATACCTCCAAGCAGTTGTGAAAGAAACTTTTCGCTTGTATCCTCCAGGTCCTGTAACAGGACCCCGTGAGGCCCTGGAAGACTGTAACATCGGTGGTTATCATATCACAAAGGGCACGCGTTTGATTGTTAACATATGGAAGCTGCACCGAGACCCACGTATCTGGCAAGATGCGAATGAGTTTCAGCCAGAAAGGTTTATGACTACTGAAGCTGAAACTGATGATAAAGGTCAACAATTTGGGTATATTCCATTTAGCTATGGTAGAAGATCGTGCCCTGGAATGACTGCAGGGTTAACATTGGTACATTTAACGGTTGCTCGGCTACTCCAGGGATTTGATTTGGCAACAATTGAAGGCAAGCCAGTTGATATGCAGGAAGGTTTGGGCCTTGCGTTGCCCAAGTTGAAACCTCTTGAAGTTGCCATCAAACCACGCCTTAATTCGGATCTTTATCAGTGTGTTTGAGGCAACTAATGGGAAGTTGAAACTTACCATCTATGTTGTTTATAAAATGCATAAAGGTAAATAATCGTGTCTTCATGTGAAGTGAAACTTATCCTAGAGGTGGCCACATAGTCTAAAGTTCTTGACTTTTCACAGTCAGTACTCTCTATCTAAGGATATGGAAGGTGGGTTGTTACCTTAAAAATAAATGTTGTGGTTTCAATATATGCTCAATAAAAGCATCTGTGATGATATTATTGATATCTTCTCCTCTTGAGAGAATGATTCTAGATAATGAAGGACTTTGCATATACTCAGAATTTGATTTTCTTTTTTAATTTTATTTTAAAATACATATTATTAGATCGAATTTGATATATTGTCGAAAAAGTGACTTAAAAATATTTAGTAAATAGTGTAAAATAGTTTATTTTCAACTCGAATTTGCTACATGGCTCATAATCTCTTTTTTGTATGTGGATGGGTAGAAACTTTGGTGGCAATAAGTGGCAAAAACATATATCGAAAACCCGTGTCAAAATTATGAATGTAAATGGTCAAACATGCTTTTTCTGCAGGGAGAGACCGAGAGACCACTTTTAACAAGACAATGAGTTTAACTCTAGTTAAGATAAACCATAAAAATAAACTCAATCTTATTTATTTAATTTTGCAATTGTCAGCTGACATATCAAATCTTTCATAATTAAATCTGATTCATAGACAATATTTATAATCATAGATATTGAANATTTTGCACTCGGAAAGCCCAAAGCCCAAGGAAATTGCAAGCAATCGTTATAAAACCTACTAGCAAACAAAACTAGTGCGCCATGGAACCTTCACACAGATGCAGAGCATGGACATCGAGCTCACTTCCCCACCACCACCACCACCACCACCACCATCATCATCATCATCATTTTCATCATCGCCACTGCCATCACCGTCACCATAACTATCACCATCACCATCATCCCTTGACCTTCTTGCCTCACCATCCTCACTTGATCATCTGCCCTCACCCCCACATAAATCATCATACCCATCATGTAAACGCTACTTTTACTCTTCATCCACAACAAAATTCAGAGCCTTCGCAGAACCATTTCATCTTGGAGGCGGAGTCTCCCCTTTTTAAACATACTTCTCATTATGATGCTCAGTAAGTTTGCCTCAACTCTTTTCTTTTGTTGTTTGCTACTTCTGCTTGTTTTGCTTTTTTGGGTTTCTGGTCGAAATCTCGGCCACCACGTTAAAATTTCAACTTCATCGTCATTTGTCTACCCTTAATGCCAATATCTTAAATAATATTTGAAATTTGAATTGGCAAAATGTTAAGAATTCCATAATACTGTGTAAATATGTTGTAATCATGTAAATATTATATAATCTTTTAGTTATATGAAGTATACGATCTCAGAATATTCTAGAGATTATATAATCTCTTAATTATGTTAGATAGAATATTATGTAATCACAATTAACATAATTATTATCTTTAGCTACAAACCTTCATTGACTATTACAACAATTCGATGTGAAATGTTTTCCTATATGGAGAATTGTCAGAAGAGATATATATGAATCCTCCACCAGGGTATATTTCACTAGAAAAGTATAACCAAAAGGTATGTAATTTAAAAAAACTTTATATGGGTTGAAGTAATCTCCAAGGTCATAGTTTAGGTGGTTTACAAAAGCTATAAAGTCTTTTGGCTATCATCAGAGCAATTCAGATAACACATTGTTCCTAAAGAAACAGCAAGGGAAGATCACTGTACTTATTGTATATGTGGATGATATGGTGGTCATTGGAAATGATCCAGAAGAAAGAAAGGTTTTGCAAAAGTACTTCTCAGAAGAATGTGAAATGAAAAACCTAGGTTCTTTGAAATGTTTTCTTAGAATCGAAGTGTCTTGATCTAACAAAGGTATTTTTCTATCACAAAGAAAGTATGCTTTAGATGTTTTGCAGGAAACTGGTATGTCAACCAACAGATACACCAATTGGAGAAGGTTTGAAATTATGTATCAAGACTGATCAAGTACCAGTTGACAAAAGGAGATATCAGAGACTTGTGGAAAGATTGATGTACTTGTCTCACACTAGTCCAAATCTTGCTTATGCATTGAGTATAGTCAATCAGTTCATGCATAATCTTGGAGAGCAGCATATGAACACAGTTATGAATATCTTGAGATATTTAAAACATGCTCCTGGAAAGGGAATCTTATTTTCAAAAAATAAGGATTACCAAAATGTGCATGCATATACTGATGCTGATTGGGCTGGAGCAGTGGATGACAGACAATCTACTTTTAGTTATTTCACTTTTGTAGGAGGTAATCTTGTCACATGGAGAAGCAAGAAATAGAATGTTGTGGCACGCTCAAGTGTTGAAGCAAAATTTAGGGGAATGACACTTGGGATTTGTGAAGCTTTGTGGCTAAGATTTCTACTTCAAGATTATCAATCTAATCAACCAATCTAGTTATATTGTGACAATAAAGCAGCATGTGACATTGCTTACAATCCAGTTCAACATGATCGTATGAAGCACGTTGAAATAGATAAATTTTTCATTAAATAAAAACTAGACTAAAAGATTATTGAACTGCCCAAGATTCGATCAGAAGATCAATTGGTTGATATTCTTACCAAGACTGTCTCCAAATTTATTTTCTTACAAGTGTTAGATAAGTTGGACATATGTGACATCTACGCACCAACATGAGGGGGAGTGTTAAGATTTCCATAATATTGTGTAAATCTTTTGTAATCATGTATATATTATGTAATCCTTTAGTTATGTCAAGTATACGATCTCAGAATATTTTAAAGATTATATAATCTCCTAATTATGTCAAACAGAATATTGTGTAATCACAATTGACATAATTAGGAGATTTAAGAGATCGTTTACTCCCTATATAAAGGATAATCCTTAGTGATAAATCAATGAATTGAAAACTCAATTCTTCCAACAAACATGTTGACCATTGTTTGAGTAGTTTTTTTTTTTCTTTGTTTTAATCTACAGTTGGTGCTTAACTTCCACAAGTTAAAATGCAGTTATGCCTGCTCGTATTCAAATATTATGTTTTCAACCACTCAAAAGAGGAGCTTAGCTAAATTTGAGAACAATTTATGTTGGTTTTTGTGAGTCTTACTGGTCTTGTGTGATGAATAGGACGTGGACGTTGCAAGATGAGGACAACGAAGGTTTAGTAGAAGAGGAAGAGGAAGCAGCTGAGGAACCGGTCTTTGTTCTAACTGCTGAATGGAGAGAGTTTTTTGCAGCATCTGAAGCTAAGAGGAAATTGGGTTAGTAACACCTTTTTCTGCCCCTGTTTTTTTCCTCTCATCGTATTTTGTGGTTTTAATCTTGATTGTTTCTACAGCGAAGAAGCAGGCTAAGAAGAAATAGCAAAAGCCGAGAACATTCTTGGACGGTCAATTTTTCAAGTATGAGATAATATGTGTCAAATTGTCAATTATGCAAAAAAAGATTTCATTAGTTAATTTCTGCAGTAGGTCATAAGCACCTATACATATGTGCCTATCTTATAATCTTACTTGCTGTATCAGATACACGATAAATAGAGAAAGACGTTATAAATTCTAAATCATAAATGTATGCTCTTGACACTTGACACATTTGAAATGTGTAATTTGAAATACTGGAAGCGTGGTTTCCTCAATATAGTGAGCCAAAGATTAAAAGTCAAAGATAGTTTCACGAAAAAGTTCAAAACTTCTGCGTACGACGATGATAGCAACACGTAAACACAGTTAATTTTCAGTGGGAATGGCAGCGATCTATGCATCTCATTTTCCTAGTATTTTTTATCTGGGAAACTTGCTATATTTTAATCATCCTCGTAACTCATGTAAGCATTTGCTTGTTCTTGCCCTGCATATTGCAGTTCGCTCATTCATTCATTTTTTATTTATGGGAGAGAAAGAATGCAAACTTCGTGCATTTTAAATGGAAACATACAAGTGTCCTAACACAATACCCTGTCTTAGTTTCAAAAAGTAAATCTAGTATATATCTCACAATTGGTACAACATAACATGTCGAAAGCCTCACTTTGAGAGTTCATCGTAACATAGCTAACCATCGTTTTGAGTGAAACATAGCTCTGACCAAAGGTCTAGAGAAGCAAGATTTGATGATTTTACTAGTAGGCTACATCATGGCATTTACTTGCACAAGAAAGTAAGATTTAATAACATGAGATTCTAGCAAGCAGTAGAGTCACCTAAACATTTAAGGCTTCGAAGCCAGTTTGCTGAAGGCAGCATTTATCCTGTCGTCTGTGATCATTCTTTGGTTTTCATAGAAATCTAATATCTCCATTGAAATATTTTTCACCTGTCAAAATATAGATTATTCTTTATTATAAACAAGCTAGCCCCAGTACATGTTATGAAAATAGATTTAAAATGATAAGTCGGAGGCAGTATAAAACAATGAAAAGAATAAGATTTAGAAAACTCACTACATTCATATCAACACGAAGCTCTTCAAACCATGCAGTGTTATCTTTTTCCCTATATACACTGGCAATGTATATACAAGCCAAAGCAATCAGATGAGGGGGGTGCACAAGAATAAGGTCCATCTTGTATGTATCATTAGCGAGTCCCCTGTTTTCAGAATGCCTGGGTTAGGGCAAATTTCTATCTTCAAATTAAAACCCAAACATGGTGACACACTAAATAAAACCATAATGAATACTGGCATAAAGAGAGTTGATCGGAACAAAAACTTAAAATAACATAGTATTTATCAATAAATATGTGTAGCTCTCTGAAAGACTGCAACCCTGAATCCTATTTCGCAAGCACTATCTAGTCACAATTCTTCCACATAATATGTCTTGTTGTTATTTAACTGGAATTTCCCTGTCAGAGAAAGATTGAGCTACCAGCACTGGAAATTTGAGACAGATACACCAATAAATTTTACCAGAAAACTACTAAATTACCCATCTATGCACCTAACTATGAAGAAGATAGATGACAAGGATATTACAAGCAAAAAGAGTAACTCTTCCAATAATCTCTTCTTTTCAGTATGGAGATCCTTAAAATCTGCCTATATCTAATTCTACCACCAGAAGCTTGAACTTTTTCAGCCTCTGAAAAGAAAAGAGCATTAACAAAGCATAATTTGGTAGAAAATGAAACTATCAAGATCAAAGAGAGAGAATAAGAACACTGAAACATTTTTAGAAACAATTGGAAAAGATTATCATAGATCTTACCAGGCAAATGGAATCATATTCATGTCATTCATGCCAACATCCTGCAACAACCTATAAGGATAAAAACAGAAGAAAAATTGTCATCAAATAAGATATTGTCATTGAAAAGATAGTTAAAATAGAATCAAAGGACAAAATTAATGAAATTTGGCAGTTAGGGTTTTTTACTTCTATAATTTTATTGAAAAAGGTGGAAGTAGGTACTAGTCCCATCCTATGGTCTAGATTCCACAAGATTATGAATTTTCTTTTTCTAAATGGAGCTTCAGAGGTCAAAAGAACATCTAAAGCTAATTGTTGTTGAAGAAAACAAAGAATACAGCAAAGACAAAGGATCCAAGCAAGACATAAAAATAAGGCTAAGATATAATAGCTAGACAACGACAATAGCAGAGGTCAAAAAATAAGAAACTTTAACTAGGTACTTAAAAGTTCCATCTTCAAATAGTTTATCATTGTGAGTTTATAAATGCTGCAGTTGAATTGCAAAACATTTTACTATAAATATGTCCAAAAGAACATATCCAAAATGGAAAAAGAAATAAGATAAGCACCTAATATATTAATCTCTTTAAACACAATATGATAAATATGGCCAGCTTATCATGTGCGAGAAGCATAGGAGCTTGCATGGGGTCAAATAATGAATCAAAGTTCAACATAATGAAAACTACTATTGGATGAAAATTATACATCTACACTAATGCTATGTCCATGAAACAAATATGCAGGTGGTGTTAATCAAATTACCGCTGATTTCACAAAGATGTTGGCATTTCTAATCAATGTTGAATTGTAAAAGTAGGTTGAAAGACGCTATTAGAGTCAAACTCCCCCATCCCAACCCCACCTCTCTTTCTCTTGTGGCACACATCCTCTTATTTATAAAACTATATACTGAAATTAAAGAAAGAATAAAACAAAACAACAATGCTTAAAATGTACAAAGGAGAAGAAATGCTTACTGCACAAGTGAACGGTATGGATGGAATACAACCAAATAATAGTTAAGAGCTTCTAAAATCTTCATTTCCATTTCGAGTATATCTTTGACTTCATATCTATACTTTTCATCAGCATCTGTAAAGCAAAAGTGGTAGGTTCTCAACACATATCACAGAAGAAAAAAATGCAAATAACTAAACTTGGAGGAAACCAAAGTAATTACATATTTTTTTGATGTAAAATGGTAGAAGTCGGGCCTGTACTGTGCTTTCTTCAGCTTTTGATGCCAAGTACAAGCAAGTTGGAGCGACAAGATGTGGATCATATTCTGTCATACTCTTTCTAAAATCAGAGAGAGAAGTTACAGTTAGTAAGTTGTCAAAAAACCGTTAGAATCAAGTGCTTTTATGAATACAACTCCCAAAGTTTAGGAAATGATAAAAGTATTTAAGGATAAAATGGCTACGAGAACAAATATATCTAAGTTACAGAGTGAGCCATGAGTCTCTAGTCATTAACAACGCGCACTTTTCTCTCATCAATCAGACAATTATGCAGTATACCTGGTGTAAAAACGTCTCATATATGTAACTGCAGTGGCCACTACCCTCAAGATAAGACCATTTTATTAGAGATCAACATCTGGCCCATATCAACTTTCTAAAAGTGACAAAACATAATTAATCATATCAATACGATCTATCTTCTTCGTTACATAAAAGCACATTCTGTGTAAAGTCTTTTGATGCCTAAACAAACAATTTATTTGCTATAAGTGACAAATTATCATTTGATTTTACATGTTTTATACGAACCTATAAAATCCTTTACTATACAAAATAAATGTTGTGTATTTGATTAACATTTATATGACAAAGCGAATTTACACATAACTGAAGAACATGTACAAGAGGTATATTGTATTTTAATGCTGAAAGAAAAAACTCTAAAATAACAGGCATAATACTCTTTTTTCAGTTGAATTGTATGGTTGAATAATAGAAATTTATATTGCCCTTCTTTTTGCAAAGAATAATTTATTCTTTAAAAAGCAATTATGTTAGATGGGTGTGCATTTCTATGAAACATTGTACTCATAAAGTTGCCCACTGAGTCTAATCAATGCATGAATAATATAGTATTACAATTAATTATGCACATAACCTTTAGATGCCTACAGAAAAATAAACTACAGTCTAGATTTCTACCTTTTTGGACCTTTAAAATCCGAAAATTATATAGAAATTGAACTTTTCATCTGTATTTTCTTTACCAGATGCAATTTACCATAACCAACTACATGTTCATATGTTTTTTCTAGACAGGGTGCAACCTACAACAAAGGAAATGAAATACTGTTCACTGATTCCTCTCTCTCTTTTAAGTCTCAAACAGGGTGCAAGTGATTTGCAGAATCATAAAACATCTGGAGAAAGATCAAACCTCTGCCTCACTTTCACTTTTGAGCCAATTTTGATATCTGGAAAAAGAAAGACACAAATTCAAAAAAAATGTTAACTGGTGAAGAAATGCAAAAGCAAAAAATAGAACTACAAGAACCCTTTCCTAAATACAGTGACAAAATATAAAAAAAAAAAAAACAACTTTTGTTATCCTGAATCTTGTTTATAATCAATAAAATTACAGTTTTCAGTAACACAGTTTAATTCTATCGATTACTTAAAATTCTGATACTATGACCACTCATCCTCAACTTCCAATTTTTCTTTTCCGCATTAGCTTCTCGGAATTATTGTACATTGAAGATGAAATTTTTGATGTCAATTCTTCAAAGAATTTGAGAGACTGAATGAAATTCTTTCTTTTTCTTTTTTTCTCCTTTTTCTTAATAAGAAACACAGCAGATTAAGAAAAAAAAAAGACCTCAATCCAGACGAAGATACTTTCCTAACTGCATAAAAAAATTCTCAGACGCATGAAATTTATACCAAAAATAATACTAATAATAATAATAATTAGAAGATGCTAAAATTAAGATTCCATCTAAACATCAAAACAGAAACGGTCATAATACAGACGAGGATGGAAAGAGAAGGAGAGAGAGAGCACATACAACTGGCCATTTGCATCTTAATTAGCTTGAATTCTTCAAGAGTGAACCTTCTCTCTGTCAAGAGGTTGCACCACATCCACCTTCCTGGTCCAGGAGCTTTTGCTGCACACACCAAAATCATAAGCAAAACAATCAAAATTTAGAATCTGGGCAATTAAATTTAGATAAATGGAAACTTACTAGTGAGAGGATGTCCAGAAATTAGCTGCCATTGATTGCAAGTATGCGCAGAAGTGGGAGTCTAGGATTTGCTTACCGTTTCTGTTATATTTAAAATCGATTCTTCTTGATTCCATAATTTCCTTGTGCTAATCAGTAAAGCACACCTCAAGCCCCCGAAATATGTTGAGACCCATTACATTTGGGCCATCATTTTTCTTAGATTAGGCCATCCACCATTTTGACTTTTCTGTTCCTAAATTACGAAAATAATTAACGATTTGAAGGTAATTGTTATTTTCTTTACCTTTTCTTTTTTCTAACGTGTTGACATGTTTTTTACTTGAGAAATAAATTGAAATATAGTACATTACATTGTTACTATTAAAGAAACTTATATAAGAGGACAGCATTTAGCAATTAAGATATCCATAGAAAAATCAATGTATGGGTGGTTGACACATACATACTTGTTCAAGACTTTGTTGATGGAGTTTTTACAATGAAAGTACTTAGGATCTGTAATAGAATCTATTAGGAGTGTAAAACCTGAATTCTGATGTTGGATGATTGTGAAATATAAATCAAACAATACATACAAAAAAAAAAAAAAATTAAGTAATTCGAATGCTTAATATAAATCTACATCCCTTTTTTTGTATTGCTTTCTTGCTTCTTATTAGTTGCGTGTGTCGGTTGCACATTATGAATGAGCCCCCTTAATTAGAGTAAAAAATAGGCTTTATATAATTACATTGGAAACTAACAAGTAAATAAACTTCAGATAGAATGAATGCAGCATAAATGAACAACACCTTAGACACGTGACGTAAATCCATGCGCATAACAACATTTTATCTTTAATTTTGTTCTTTATAACAAGTAATTTGTGGAGGATATAATAATTTATTTGCTAATTATTTAGATGAGTTAGCTATGGTACCCGTAGGTTCGTGAAAGGAAGTCCCGTCAAATCCTACCATTTGTGAAAATAATGCCTATTCTGATATATATTAGTGATTTAAGTGGATGGACGATAATCTTTGCATGCAGCTGGAACCAACTCACTATGTAGATTTGATTATTACAACTTTTGATTGTTTGATATTTTTCAACTTAACCATGAAAACCATAAATATTATACACGACAAATCAAAGCCTCAATGTTGATCGCCATTTACTCAATAAATATGTGTAAACTGATGGTAATCTCTAGTTTTTGATTTGATCTCTCCTGCGCATTCTGCTCCCCATGACATGTTGGCCCTCGAATCCTGCCTCATGCTCCTTCTCCTCAGCCGTGTCAGTTGAGACTGCCATTGCTTCCGCCACTCTCTTTTCCACTTCCATTCCAATATCCAATATCAACAATTAATTCATAGTAAGTTTTAATGTAAAGAATAGTTGGAAATCAAGCAAGTTACCTCTTTCCTCGAAACAAAGCCAATGTTTATCATACAAAACTCTGCTTATGGGGTCGGATAAAGTCTCGTACGCTTCTTGTACCTGAATAAACCTCTTCGTGTGTTCTTCTATTCTTTCCGGCGGCGACACATCAGGATGATATTTTCGTACAAGTTGCTTGTAGATTGCTTGATCTCTGTGAGTGTTCCACTCTCTGAAATGCCCAAGGTCGTACAAACTCTCTGTCACCATGTACAAACTGTTAACGACAGAGGCCCTCGCTCTGTTTGTGAAAAGACCCAGATTGAGTTTTGAGGGAAAACTGAGTTTTGGAAGATGGGAATTGAAAGCAACTTATGAACAAGGTTGAAGCATGGAGTTTGTGGTTGAGAAGGTTGATGTGATGCGTCATGGAAGCATGATTTTCTTCCAGCTGAACCAATTCCGTTGACTCATTGCTCAATCTTAAGTTGCTTTCTCTGTTTACCTTTCAGATGGAGATAGATTGAAAATTTGGCATAAGGTAATTGATTTAAACAAGTGCAGGCGGCGCCACTAGCCAGGACCAGGATTGCATAGAATTAATACAGATATTATATTTAATTCCCTAATTGCAACCGGCATTGACTAATGAGAATATAGATTTTATATGAAGATGTAAATTTCCTTGTACCCTTTTTAGTTGGTAAAATAGAATTAAAAGCAGTGTGGAAGCCCTTTAGTTTTATTGTGCGTCGTTTGTTTTGGATTCTTTTTCCTCATTTAATTTTGAATGCTTTTGACTTCATCAACTAAACGTTGATTCTAGGACGTTTGTTCATTGTCCATTCAATTTATGCAATATACTATTGTCTTTTTTATTAGAAATTTTGGCAATAAAAAAAATGTTTATATACATTACTTTAAACTAACACATGTCATTAAAAATATAAAAATTGATATCAATTGGAAAGCATATAAAGTGTGAACGTCATTGCCAGATATGGCAGTTACAACTTACAACCAGGAGAATTGTTTCATTCGGATTCTGATGTAAAAAAGAATAATTTAGAGGGTTAAAAATTATAAAATAGAAATAGAAATAGAATTTTTTAAGTTTGTTGGATGGACCTAATTTGTATAAGTGGAACTTTCTAATGGTTGTTCACACTCAATTAGTCAATGCATAATAGGTCACATATATTTGGACTAGTTTCCAATATAAGCTAACTAACTCAACAGGTTGGCCTTTAGCCTAACGGTCAACAAGGCTTGTTTCTTATTGATTTCCTAGATTCGAACTTTGAGATCACCTTATATCTAATAATGCTCTGAATGATTTCTATATAGGAATAACCTCCTTATAGCTAAATTTGGATAGTTATAATAAGAATAAGCTTCACATTGCAAGTTATAATTTTTCTAATTTCAATCGTAAGAAATGCCTTCACATTTAATAATATTATATATTGCAAAAAATATATACATAAAAAAAAATAAAATATTTATTTAAAGTTTTTTGGAAAACAATTTGTGCTTTAGATTTGTTACCACATCTTTTAACTGCTGGTACTAATAACTCACTAGCATTGACATTTTCTTGTTGAACCCAAATATTTCACACTCTCAAGAATGTTTAGAGCTTTTGGGCACTAAACTTTTTTTATTTCCGTACTATATCCTTATGATTATTTCCTTTCTCTTCTTGTCCATTGTATAATGATTTCTTATTTATTTAAGCATACATGACTTATGCTCATTGGATGATTGACGAAAACATTAAAATCCATCTGATTAGTATAGTGAAGTTGTCGAATCTGGTCACTCAATTTTGTAATGACTCTTTGATTCTCCTCATCTACTTCTTATAACTTGCAATTCATCGACATCGGGGGTCTTAATTTGTAGTGCTAAAAACAATTGACAATTGTTTTGTAGCTTCACATCAATTGACCATGCAACAATTGCATTTACAATCCATCAAGGACATTTATATTTACTGGTTCCTAGACAATATCTTTTATTTTTTCAAAAGTAGATATTGAGTGTTGATTAAATCCTAGTACTATTAAAACATGAATTGAAATCCTAACACTATATTACTAAACATGAATTTAAAAAAAATAAAATAATAATTTTGTAACTACACCTCTATAAGTTATAACTCCTCATAGTAATCAATTATTTTGTTTCTACCATTATGACTAATATAATGTTTTACTCTCTCTCTCTCTCTCTCTCTCTTCTCTCTCTCTCTCTCTCCCTCTCTCTCTCTCTCTCTCCCTCTCTCTCCTCTCTCTCTCTCTATATATATATATATCTATATAATATATATTAATATATTATATATATATATTATATATTATATATATATATAAGCAGTAGAATTTGATGGATATTGGGATTGGCCCTTGATCGGCATACTGAGTTTTGAAATATTTTGGAATCTGCTGATTGTATGGCCAAAAATCAACTTAGGCCTTGTTAGGCCCAATCGAGTGATTTTACTGTGTAGGCCCGGTCGTAGCTCAATTATGATTGTGCCCATGTAAGGCTCACGTCAGGGCCAGATCCATCGTCTAAGCCCAACTTCTCTCCATATGGGCATCACTATTAGCCCGCTTAGGGTCAGACTCATTGGTCCATGATAACTTCTGAGGTTGTCAGAGTCCCCTAAAAGCCCTATACATCTACTTCCTATTTGGATTTATCCTAATTCTTCAAGATTTTGCATCTTATGTGAATTATGACTCCGATCCTACTAAAGTAAGTAAATCAAGGTCTTTCTTATTTACCAGTGCTTTGCCATTGTGATTCAAATCCTACTAGGGTAAATCAAGTCTTTCCTTTTACCAGAACTCGCCATTTGCGGATTCAAAGTCCTACTAGGATCAAAGACCTATGACTATTATATAAAAGGGTCTTACCTCCACTACATTCAATTTGGATCTTGCTCACAAGCTCTTGCTCTTAAGAGTTATACACCTATGCTATAATTCTAGTCTCTGACTAAACTTCCGGTAACCCTTCATTCCTTTACCTCTCACTAAATAGCTTTCTGACTTGAGCGTCGGAGTATTACGACAGACACCACACGTGTTTACGTAAGCTTCGCATTTGTTTGTTTTGTGTATAGCTTTAGTAGATTGTCAGTGGTTTTAACCTTACAGATTATACCTTCTTTCAACTATAAATTTTAGCATCTCACTTATTTACCCACTGTGTCCCAGCCTCTAAGGGACCCTTTGAAGTGAGGGGTAAAGTTACCGCACTGTGTAATATATTAAAAAAAAAAATTAGATCTGTAGTCTCTTTCTAAAAATTAATAATAATTTCTTATTAGTTCGTAGCTTCTGAACAAGAATTCATTATCTTTTGGAGTTTTTCTCCCTAATAAGTTTGCAGACTCAATCTTAATTTCATTTCTACTTGGTTCAAAATATAAACATCAGTTTAATGTTTATTTGTTGATTACACAAAGCAAAATTTAATATCTGAGATGAACATTTGTAGAAAATTAACTACGGACTGTGAGCCAATTTGATTAGTGAAAATAATGATAAATGTTAAAGAACATAAAGAGGCAGTATAGAAAGATGAAGTGCTGGAAATACAATCAACATCATGAGTCGTCCCACGCATCTCGCATCACAAACCTTGAGATAACGATTACAATATAGCATTATTTCTTGTTGCGATGTGGGACCAAATCACAATGTAAGTTCAATCATACGCACAAGATTAGCTATAATTGAAGACAAACAATTAATGGTGTTTACTTGTTGAAGATTTGAATAAGCTATGATCAAGTTTGAACTCCAAAACACTGAGGCCCACTGCACTACATATCAAAAACGTTTTTACAATTATAAACGACAAAAACTCTCAAATCACTTCAATTGTTATAACAAACACCCACACACGGCAATCCTTATAAATCCTAGAGAAATCTAACTCACTCCTCTTAACTTAAGGAAACACAACCTTTACGACATGATTCCCAATCGCCCAAATTACCAAATTGAGTACTTAATAAGAACACTAGCAAAGAGCAAAATATTACCCGAAGAAGAACCAAAAATCTTGTTCACAAAATAGAGAATGGGCTGCTTTTTAACGTTGACTAAATAGAGGAGGGCAGCCATTGGATTTTGATGCAAAGTGCCGGCCATGATAAAAAAAAAAAAAAAAAGGATCAGCACTCAAAACGGCAGCGCATGGGATAATCATGCGCCACATTAATGGTTTGGATATCATGCATATTAAGGACTTTTATTAACCAGTACTATTTAAAGCATAGTACGAATACCATACTTTAGTCATTATTATGTGATTTTAATAAAGATTAGTATCCTGATTAGTAAAATCTGTTTATACATAAAGTTTACTCTAATGGTTTCATTTTAACATTCCAAATACTGTACTATACTTACTTGTAGGCATTCTTATTCAACTCTGACACCACAACCTTGAGGATGATGGAGCATACTCTTGACCTCCTGAAATGTTTATAAAAGGACGTATAATTCTATAAATGTGTCGTGGAACACATGGCGGTGGTTGGCTTTTCTGCTACAGTTTTTTGTTTTTCTAATGCAAAACTTGTTCTCCGGACAGCTTGAGATATGAGTGGAGTAGGAGATTTAATGAAAATTTCATGGCACTTGATAATGATGTAGAAAGAGGAGACAAACTTAGATCTTGACATTAATATGAGTGGAGTAGGAGAGATACTATTAAACACGAGGCCTGGGTATCTATGGTTACAATTTATTAGGTAATATTATATTTATAAAAAAATTTACAAAATTTGTATAAAGTGATGTGGTAAAAATGAATAATAGTGATTTATAAATTTAATTTTTTATTTACTCTTCTATTTATCTTTTGTTACCTCACTTTGTATAAAATCTTGTAAGTATATTATTATTGAATTTATTATCAACCTATTCCTACCATAACATGCATTAATGCATAATTCAATTTTGATGAGCCCCTCCACCCTGCCCATGTTATTATTACTTATAGTTTTACCTTATTAATTAATAAATATATATTATACTTTCCATAAAACTTAAAAAAAAAAAAAAAAAAAAGTTCTGTTAAGAATTCTTAGGTATGGTAATCGTTGTTGTATAATGTTGAGTGAGATTTTAATTACTCTGTATAAGAGGCTGCGCATTTTCTTTTTGTTGCGGCTGGACTAAGCAAAGGCTCTGGCAAGCGGAAAGCCACACACCACAAGTTTTAACAGAATTAAACTATTTTTAAAA